TCCTGAACCCTCAAATGAAGCAGGACGGATCCTCTTCAGCTCTTCATTTCTACATCGTTCATATTCTGCATTTTAATATATCTGCTCACATGTCTGACTCCTCCACTTGACTGACAGCTCCTGGGAGCTTTCACTCCTCAAGTGTTTAATTCTGTACATCTCCAGTGCCAGGGGCAATGGCTGCCAAAGAACCTCATGAAATGAATGTGATGTTGATGTTAGTAGCAATTGCTCAGTGTAATACACAATTCACTATGTACCACGGTTATCTTACGCTGAGTCAACTCTTTCAAAAACAAGTTATAGAATTATGAATGAATAGTAGAATTGGAATGATTTTGCTTGTATGTCTACCTATAGAGTTGAATTAGGCTAGCTTTTCTAAAAAGTGACTTTATTATCATATCTAAGAAACAATGTAAAAGGAATCAAATATCCCATTTACCACAGAAAATCTCTTTAATAGACACCTGTCAATTTCATATTCCAAAGCTGTTTTTTTGTTGGCCAGTTATTAGAAGTAGGAAAAGCTATAAATTAAGGGAAATTGCTATCCCAAACAGGAAAAGAAGATTAAATTTAAACACAATATCTTTAGGGGAAAATATTTTATTATGAAGTTAGAAAATACCTTACTGGTTTTGATGTTGCTATTTCTGTCCTAAATGACTTGAAGAAATTGTGACGATTACAAGCTGTTATATGACATTATAAAATTACACTGATAGAAATAGTCTTGACAGCAAATTCAACCAACACCCCTCCTAGCAAGACCACACCCAGGACATCCAAGATGAATTGAAATTTGTAGTTTATACGTGAACTGATTATTTTTAGTATTTTAAGAAAAGGAAATTCCATATCTTCTATCTTATCTAGAATTACTCAAAGGGATAAAAGAGAAGTCAATTTGTCAATGAATTATGTCAAGCACAGTGTTGAACCCTCTAATATGAATTATTTTTAGGCTCAAAATAGCCATGCAAAGCAAACATTATTATGTTATTTGTTTTTAATAAATGAAATGATAAGAAACCAGGAAGATAAAGAAATTTGATAGCAAAATTGAGTTTGAGTCACCATACTGTCAGGCTCTAAAGCTTATTACCTTTAAGTAAAGCAAAGGGAACTCTTGAAGTCTTAAATATCAGTTCCAGGCCATTCTGGTCATTTTGGTCTCATTTTAGAAAAGGAGAATTCACCCTGAGTTGACATTCCTGTTATCGCCAGAGTTTCATGAACTCCCTTCAATCTGACCACTGTCCCAATATTTTATTAAAACAGTTTTCATAAAATGGAATGAGTTTGTTCTTCAAACCTTTCTTGGCCTCTAATTTGTAAATTTCATTGCATGGATCACCATCCTTTGGAAAAGAATCTTCCCCTTGACTCCAGTGACATTACACCATTCCTGATTTTCATACTGCTTTTGTAGTTCATTTATTTCTTTTCCTGCCACCTCCAAGTGGGTACCTTTTCTGGAAACTGAGAGCAGTTCCACACTGTCTAAGAAATCATTACTTCCTATGATTTAAGGAATGCTTGGTTGCTGTTTCCTCTATTCATAGAGCTATCTCCTTATAGCAGCTTGGTCCCATTCTTTACACACTTCAATCCCACTTGTCTGTTACCAAAACCACCATCCCTTCTTAAGAGTACTTCCATTTTTAAAAAATTATTATTATTATTATTATTATTATTATTATTATTATTATTATTTTAGTGTCCTAATCATGGTGCTTATCACAGTGAAAAATAAGGGCTCATGGTTTGTATTTCATCTATGACTTTTCCTTCCCTTTATTTTAAAACAAATTGCTTTAAAATGTAAGACAATCCTAGAACTTATAAATTTTTATTGAGCTTGTCTTGCTCTACCTGATTCCACCCTCTTCACACTAAGAGTGAATTCTCTCTGTCCCAGGAGCCTTTCCAATCCTCTCTCCTTCCAATCCACCCTGAATGCTAATTCCCAGTAACTCTTTCTTAAAAAACTGCTCTCATCAGATTGCTGACTCATTGGAAAACTTTCAAACTCTTTGTATTTGCAGCTGCATAAAATTTAAATTCATTAGTTTGACTTCCAAGAACCTTTGTAATCTGTGTTTTCTCTACTTTAAGCAATCTTATTTCTTGTTACTTTAGCAATATTCTGCTCCAATAAAGCCAGCTTTTTTGCTCTGCAAATAAAATACATATTTAAATAAAATGCACATTCCAATTTTATGCCTTTTTTTAAATGTTCACCTTGCCTAGAATTCTCTCTTGACTCAAGTAAGTTTTTCCTTACTCTATGAAGTTTCTCTTTTTGTAGTGCTTGAACCCAGGACCTTGCGCATGCTGGGCAAGTGCTCTACCACTGAGCTATGCCCTCAGCCCCTTCCCCTTCTCTTAAACTTGCACCTTGTTCCAAGCCTGCACCTAATGCATTAATTAACACTTTGATGGTTATTATCCTGAACTAACTGATCATGGTGGATTTGCATATGTCATCCCTTAATTTTCCAATCAGACTTAAGATCACCACGGAAAGAAATCTTGCCATTGATGTTGATTTTCCCCTTAGAGTATATATATTGACTAATGCTAATTAACATGAGTAATCTGAATTTATATACCCTGATACATACAATAATTTAAAACCAAAAAGTCATTTAAAAATTAACAGAGAAGTTTCTTGTTTTGCTTTTTTAAAAAGGAATATAAAACTGTTTATTGACCACTGTTCAACAGTATTTATAATAAAGAAAACAATATAGTTGGGTAACATTCTGATTACTACAAAGCTATTTTCCTGGCTTGTATTGAACCAGAAATCCAAGTTCTGAAAAGATTGAGCCTACGTGTAAGGAATGAGTTGGTGCAAAGATAAAGCCATGCAGGTCAATAATTTAGACTGTAAAAATTTGTTCACACATTTATGTGAGCAGGTTGTAAATTGCCAACATCTCTAGCCATCTTATTAGGTTTCCATGAGCCAAATCTCATGACATTCCAAGAGTCATAACGTTTTAACACACAGATTTCAACTTTTTGAAAAAGGAATGGCTAACTAGAGGAACCCTTAAATGTCCACTTAAGTCTTGCTTAGCTAATTAAATTAGGATTTGTCTAGTTTCCTTGTCTTGGAGAAGTTGTTAGTAGTGATAGTATTTTTCCTTTCCAGAGTTTTGCAAATAAAACTGTTGCATTTATGTGACTATAGATGTAGATTTGGTGTGGCTACTTTTAATTATCTAATTTAAACTGACCAATTAACTACAGAATCATTCATTTAATCTGAAGGATTATGGCTTCAGGGAAAAATTTCAATTAATTGATTTTCTTGATTTACTTTTTCTGGAGGGGGCGGTACTGGGGATTGAACTCAGGGGCATTCGACCACTAAGCTACATCCCCAGACCTATTTTGTATTTTATTTAGAGACAGGGTCTCACTGAATTACTTAGCACCTTGCTTTGCTGAGGCTGGCTTTGAACTCGTGATCCTCCTGCCTCAGCCACCAGAGTCACTGGGATTATAGGTGTGGGCCACCGCACCTGGCTCTTGGTTTACTTTTAATGTTATTTGAAAACTAAGATATTTTTTCTACATAAAAATAATAATAGAAGTAAGTCTAAAAACTTAAGAAATAGACAAATTAAGGGGTGATTACTTGCACTGCAGACACTGTCATTTATTTTAGAATTCACCGAAGGCTCTTTGAATATCTCTCTCCATACAATGAATCTTCCCATAGATCACTTCTTGACATAGCATTGATGAAGAGGGAACTGAGTCTCAGAGCAATTATAAAAGCCACACGGAATTTTTGAGTCATCCATATTAAAGATTAACTTGATATGAGGATGTAGCATCTGTAATATTATATATTGCATCATGGAAGAATAATTCATTGCAAAAAGCAGTAGTACTCACCATATCCAAGACTTCAATTGGAATATAGTATCTTAAAGCCTGGGATTACTTCACACTGCTGTGATATAATAATCTTACCTTTACATAATCATAAAGGCACTGTTGTGAATTGGTCATTGCCTCCAGAGCAAACGTATTGAAGGTGAGTTGAATGAGTTTATTTACAGGTGCTATTATGAGCCATGTGCAGCTTAAGTCTCTGTCATATTTTCCATTTGAATCAGAATCAGGAGAGACAAAGGTACTATTGGAAACTGTCAGATAACCACCACATCCTTGTTGCGGCCCTGTGAAAACAAAGACGTCACTGTGCAGACCAAGCAGAAGAGATTTTGAATTTTATGTGAAAATTTTGTTTTGTTGTTATTTATTTTTGTGGTGCTGGCGATTAAACCCAGGGCTTTCTACCACTGAGCCACACTCCCAGCTTTTATCATACATATTTTCTTATTCTTTTAAGACAGGGTCTTGCTAAATCGCCCAAGCTGGCTTGGAAGTTGCAATCTTCCTGTCTTGGCCTCCAGAGAAGCTGGGATTATAGAAATGCATCCCCACCCATGGTGGAAGGTTTTAAAAAGAGCATAGCTTCCATTTTCTGTCACACTTTTATGAACATTATTGTGGAGCTTCTGCAGGCTGGGGCAGGTGTCTTTTCCCCTAGCCTGGTTCATTCTCTAATTTATTCCCCCTCCACTCCCACCACAGGTCCTGAGTTACCTCCTTATCAAGGGGACATGGTTACCTAGAAGAGTGATTAACCACATTTGGTTCTATGTACAGTTTTGGAACTCTTGTGTGATTTATTGAAGCACTTCCCAACCTTGAAAAATCCAATTTTCTACAAAATCAAGTATTTTGCACAACAAAACTTGTGGAGAATGTGAACATATTTTACTTTTATGTTTCACTTTTATGAATACTGCAGCACACAAAACTGAATTTATGAAGATTTACTCAACACCCCAAGATAATTGGATCCTAACAAATTTTTTATTCAAAGAGTCTGATAAAAAGAGGATGAGAAGCATTTAACACTATAGTCTAGGTTATATTAAACCACACTCTAGATTTTTTTTTGGTGGTGGTGGTACTAGGGATTGAACCCAGGGCCTCGTGCATACTAGGCAAGCGCTCTGCCAACTGAGCTATATCCCCAGCCCCTAAACTACACACTATATGTGATTTTTTTTTTCTTTTCCCAAATCAGGGGCAAAGAGAAAGCTGAAGAAGAACTTCAACTAGGGAAAAACTTTGTCTACTTTGAAATAAAAATTTTGTAACAGAATAAAAATACAAAAGACAGACAAAGAATACTCTAAAGATGACTAAACCATATAGTATAGAAACATAAAGAACAACATCTTTGGAATATTGGATTTAGTTTTGTCCACTCCACAGCCTAAGAAAGTACCTCAGATACGATGTAGGCAAAACATAAAGAAAAACTTACAGACAAATTTCAAAAGAAACAGTGGGGAAGAATGTTAAGATTTGGATATGAGGTGTTTCCCTGACCCAAGAGCTCCTGTGTTAATGCAGGAAGTGAAAGAATTAGTCTATGATAGCCATAATCTAATCAGTGATTAATTCATTTGATAGATTCATGATTCAAAAGGACTACAGTCTTAATGGTCACAGTGGGTGGGTAGGGTACGGCCAGAGGAGGTGGGTCACTGGGGGCATGTCCTTGGGGATTATATCTTGTCTCCCTGGCTTCCCCCAACACCCTGTTCTCTTCCTCTCTTACTGTCTCTCTGTGCTTGGTGGCTACCATAAGGTGAGCAGCTTTCCTCTGCCACACTCCGAAGTCACAATGATCCATTTTGCCTCAGGCCCAGAGCAAAGGAGTCAGCTGACCATGGACTGAATCTCTGAAACCATGAGCCCCAAATGAACTCTTCCTCCTCTAGGTTGTTCTTGTGCAGGTATTCTAGTCAAGTGATGGAACTGTCACTAACACAATGAATTGAACTCAAAACAGTCATAGTAGGAATGGAGATTAAGTTGGTGCTCAAAGGAACACCCATAAAGCTTATAAACTACACAGATATAGGTCATTACCAATTCCAAAGTTAAATTTCATTGTGGTTGGCCTTCTATCTCTCATTCCAATTACTCATCTGATAACACTGAAGGGACTGCTTTCAACATTAGGGTGCACGAAGATTTTGTACTTGGATCTTGGTAGAAAATATAAACAATGGTGGCCCTCCTCCATCCTGATCACAAATCCAAAGGATGGCAAATGTATGGAGTTACTTTCAGCATAGGTGCATTCTTCAGTAGGTCAGGTTGCCCTCTCCAAAGCTTCTAAGTCAGTTAAAACTGTAGAATATTTTCACAGTCACACATTTTCTGAAGTTAAAAGGTCCAGTCATTGACATATACACATACAGTATTCAGACACAAAAATTACTCTGAAAGCTAAGTAATAAATGTTGTTGCACTATTATTTTGGAACCATGCCTGTGAACTCCTGAAAGAACTGGAATTTGAACAGCTTTTATTCCATCATAGACTGCTACTTAAGGAAACCAATGAAGCTTATTGGCATGCATAGCAGAACAATTACTTTAGGTATAATGAAATGGTGAGTTTATTTATTAAATATCATTTTAATATTCAAGTAAGTATGTATAGGATTGAAGTGGAAAAAGATTAATGGTAGTTCATTAGAATTGACAACCAAGGAAATAATAATGATGTAATGTAGAGAGTGATCTATGTCTTTAGAGAAGCAGGCAAAAACTTGTAGTTTTGGAAGAAGAGAGAGGTTATTTCAGGCTAGGTGGATCTAGACTATTCCAAGGAGGAGGTAACATTTGATTTTAAGGATAAGTAGAAAAAGACTAGGTAGGAACAGGATTGAGATCAGCAATTCCAGGCTGAAAGGATCATATGACCAAAGGTTAAATGGATAAGAATTTATATTTTATGCATAGGAAGGCATGATTTTATCTGAGAAAACAATAAAAAAAAACATGAAGGATAAAAATAAGGACAAGGATTAAGACATGAGGATCAGTTATTCCACAGAGGGTCTCGAATGCCCCCCCATGGAATTTGGCCTTCAGATTTTATTCTGTGGATAACAGAGATCCACTTGAAATGTTTATCAGAAGAGTATTAGGAACAGAATATACTTTCTAGTCAAGTTTGATCTAAAAATTAATCTGGTAGCAGTATTTTACATGTAAGGGAAGGGGACTGGAGGAGGTGAGACCAGTTAAGAGGACATTGCCACAGTGTGAGCTAGAGGTCACAAGGGACAAGACAGAGTGAGAGGTTTATATGCACTATTTTATTAGCCTATCAACTTTAAAAACCAAGTGTTGTTTTCTAGAAGTTCAAGGTATAGATTTGATTACTACTTGTTTATTAGTTGATGCCAACAAGTTAATAAGGTCAGTATGATAATCATACTTGGTCACAGTGATAATTAAAATTATGCCATAAGGTACACAGCCTCATTCCACAGAATCTCAGAAAAAGGGTCCTTAAATTGTTGGCAAGCACTGTAAAGGACTGAGCAGCAAATTGGCCTCTTTCTAATTCTTCAGTGCTTCCATGTTTAGTCTTTCTGTTTGCAGTGTTCCAGAAAGAACAAAATTCATTTTTTCTGACCTCTCCACACCAGCCTTTGCCATATGACTCGCTTTAGACAATGAGTGTTAGTGGTCATGAGGGAGGCAGAGGCCTTACACATGCTTATCTTTTTTTTTTTAGCAAGGCATTTTGTGCTTCTATGATCCACTAAAAGATACGACCCTGCTAACTGCTGGTCCAAAGTGAAAGTGGATTCATGTGAAGCAGACCTGAACCCAGTCTGAAAATTACAGCCATGCATGGCTAGCAGACAGACTGAAACAGAGGCAGGCAAGCTAGTCTGCAGACCCTTATAAGCCAAAAGCTTTTGGATGGCAAGGGCCAACCAATACACAGACAAATGGCTTGTCTGAGTTATCAAATTATAATGTAGCACATTGCTTAATTCATAAACTATACACACAGAATAAAGATGGAGAACTAGCATCATCATCAGACAATCCTGGCCAAAATAGTCAAATAACCGAAGTCAAAACAATATTATACAAGTGAAGTGGTGTTCCCGTGGTGCTGGAAATGGTAATCACTGATTCCCCTACATTAGTATCTAAACATGGTGCCGTTGCTCCATGTGTCTGCTCCTCCTACGGTAAAATGGAAATTCAAGTGTATGTGTCTTTTCGGAAACATAAAGATCAATACTAACAAAAGAAGGTTATTTCACCTAAAAGTGCTGCTGCCATGTTAGTATTTCTGTATTTCAATGATAGCAGGATAATACAGAACTCTGTGACTATGAAAAAGAGTCCAATACGTAAAATAAACACACACACACACACACACAACGTACACACACGTACGTATTAACTGTACTGCTATTTTGTCCTTTTCTTTCCTTTTTTTTTACTCCTCCTTTATTTCTTTTTGGTATTGGGTACTGAACCTCGGGCCTTGTGCATGCCAGGCAAGCACTCTTTATTGATATTCTGATTACCCCTTTTTACTGGTATAATGCATCTTAACCTGGATGTGCTTAGTGTCATAAATCCATCATCTTCCTCATCATTGCACATCTTTCTACCAGGCAGACAATGCTCACCCACCAGCACCTGCTTCATCAGTCAGGTTGTGACAGAGCCCCTCTGACAACACACCCTGTTCCCAGACCAAATCTCACTCTGATCTTCCCCAAAGAGCAAACATGTCACTCAAAAGAGCTATTTCTTTAGAGGAAAATAAAAATGTTTTGGCTACAAAACTACTGGAAATATAAACCCAGGAGAAGAAGTGAGATTCGGGTCCAGATCTACTTAATTAAAAATCAGTAAAAGAATCCTAAATTATTTCCCTCCAATGATCAAACCTCAGAGTGAAGTACAAACCAAGATAAATCTGATAAAGAAAAAAATAGTTCTATCTAAGAGAAAACACCTTGGAGGCTTTAGTGGAGTAAGATTCAGTTTTAAGTAGTCACCTATTTGAAGAGCTGACATTTTTGTGGCTGACGCTGCAGGCAGCTGATATTTATTGAGGTCTTTTGGATAGCATCTCTATCTGTCTCTGGACAACTAGTACTTAGGTGGCTGATGGCTAGCTGGACTTACAGATAAACATGAGCCTGGCTTCAGGCACTTTGCTGTTTTCCAGAAACATCCATGATTCTGAACCACAGTCTAAATATATAGCAGCAAAGCACAAAAAGCATAATAGAAAAGCACTCAAGGCTAAGGCCAGAGGGAAATGGCAGCACAGCCTGAGAGTGTCATCTCAACCATAGGGATACAGGGCTGGATCTTTATACTCCTTGTTTTGAATAAACCTTACTGAGACTTTCAAAGTTGTGGTATTCAATAGTTCCAACACAGTAAATTCATTTTAAAAATCAACTAGTATTAAGCTAAACTTGTTTTTCTCTTAAAAGAAACAGAATTTATTATTTTACTCCATGCCCTCAAGTGTGTACAATATTTCTGGTATAATATTTATATCATGCAAGAAAAAAATATCTTAATAGTCTTTGTAACATGAGTTGTTTCTTGTGTTTAGTAACTTCACTCATTAGTATATTGCAGTTTAGATAGCATAATTTGAGACATAGCCTAATGCAATTTGGGATGTATATTGACTCTGGTCATATTTGGGAAGAATACTGCTAAAATACTAAAAGAAAGGCAACTTGCTAAATGGAAGGTAACTTCAACAGCTAATCAGTAGATATAGTCAACAGAAAAAGAGCAATATAAATACAGGTCCACAATTTAAAATGGTTCAACTTATTACTGTTTTTAACTTGAGTATAGTGTGAAAATTATACACGTTCAGTAGAAACTGTACTTAAATACAGTAGAATTTTGAATTCTCATATTTTCTTGGGCTAGTGACATAAGATGCAGTCCTCTCTCACAATGCTGGGCAACAACAGTGAGCCACTTGACCATGAAGGTGAACAGCCAATACTCCACAGTTTACTTCTTGCTGAGCTCTGTTGTTCAGTAAGTTGGATATGTTAAATGTATTTTTAACCTACAATATGTTCAACTTACAATGGATTTTTGGAACATGGCCCATTGCAAATTGAGGAACATCTGTGTAAAAAACTTAGGAAACGG